AGTTGTGAATACAGTGTAATATATTTGTTAACCCACAGAAAGCACATAGTGGGGTAAAATTCAGAGGCCAGATGTGACCAAGTTATTTCCTAACATGGAACATACTGTTGATCCAGACTCATTGAGAGAATTGTTCTAATGTGAGTCTCAACAAAATTGGGGGAAAAAAAATGCTATGGGTCTTCAAGGCAAGTGAGAATGTTTTGAGCTGACAGTGTTTCTTCTGGAATGTCAGAATCTGTTACTCCTGTCACTGCCCAAAGGAAAAAGTGATAAGTGGGAAAGGCAGTTTTGACTGTCTCCAATGCATTCTGTACGCCAACTATATCTTCTTTGAAGATTTTTGAGCTCAGTGTTTATCTGACATTAAGGTTGATCTTTCCACCCCTCACTTCAAATAGGCATTATGTGGACCACTTTTATGTCATCGACAAACTTTCAATAATCAGCTCCCCCCTTGCTTCCTACCAGCTTCCCATCTCCTGAGCAACATCTGACCATGGTGGTAACCCATAAGATTAATACAGGGTATAGGGTGATAAATAGCTTGGTGGTAGAGCATTTGCCTAGCATGCACAAGGCATTGGGTTCAATCACCAGCACAACACAAATAATAAACATTTTTTAAACATTTATAAAAGCAATACTCAGGTCAGGGGAACTTTTGATTCTTTTTTTCTTTATTTTTTTTTTAGTTGTAGATGGGAACAATACCTTTATTTGATTTATTTATTTTTATGTGGATCAAACCCAGGGCCTCACACGTGCTAGGCAAGTGCTCCACCACTGAACTACAGCCCCACCCCTGAATTTTTGATTCTTTAAAGCAACCTTAACCACAAAATTTTGCAACTTTTTCTGGTAGAGGATGAATGATAGAATCAAATTTCAGGGGCATTACGAAATGATCAAACCAGGCACTGTGATGCATACCTATAATCCCAGCAGTTTAGGAGGCTGAGGCAGAAGGATCACAAATTCAAAGCCAGGCTCAGCAAAAGTGAGGTGCTAAGTAATTCAGTGAGATCCTGTCTCTAAATAAAATACAAAATAGGGCTGGGGATGTGGCTCAATGGCCAAGCACCTCTGAGTTCAATCCCCAGTACCCATTCCACCCACAAAAAATGCCCAGACTATGATAGATTATACCATAGTCCCCTCTTATTGTGAGAAATACTTTCCAAGACCCCAAGTGGATACCTAAGATTGAGGGTACTACTGAACCCCACATATACAATATTTCCTGTTTATACATCTCTATGATAAAGTTTAATTTATAGATTAGGCAAAATAAGAGATTAACAATAATAACTAATGATAGAATAATTATAACAATATATTGTAATAAATGTTATGCAACTATGGTCTTATTCTCTCTCTCAAGATATTACATTGTATTATATTATTACATTGTATTATTATATTAATGTGTGGGTAACATGTATGACATAGATACAGTGAACAAATATTTGATCCATGTCTCAAGTGGATGGAGCAGGATTGTACTAGATCTCATCACCATTCTGAGCATAGAATGATGCCGTGCAGAGTTTAAAACTTATAAATTCTTCATTTCTTGGATTTTCCATTTAATATTTGAGACCACAGTTGACCGTGGGTAACTGAAACTACAGATAAGGGGGTACATCAAACTGCCAAAGATCCTAGGCAGGAGGTTTTTTGCCAATAGCCCGGCGAAGGGCATCCTTGACCTCTTTATTCCTTAAAGTATACACCACCGGATTGAGGAGTGGAGTAAAAACAGTGTAGGTCACAGAGATCAGCTGGTCCTGATCCCTGGTGTTCTCTGACTTGGGCTTGAGGTAGGCGATGGAGGCACAGCCATAGTGGACGATGACCACGGTGAGGTGGGAGGCACACGTTGCAAAAGCTTTCTTCCGTCCTTCGGCAGAGGCAATCTTGAGGATGGTAGAAATGATGAGAATGTAAGAGATGAAGACCAAGCCCATGGGCACCACAATAACCAGTGAACTGATGATAAAATTAAGTATGTCATGTAGGGTGGTGTCCGCACAGGAGAGTTTCATAACTGGGCGGATATCACAGAAATAATGGGCCACCTCTCTATCACAAAAAGGCAGCCTGAACACAGATGAAATCTGAATGACAGCCACAAGCAGCCCAATGCTGCAGGCTCCCCATACCAGCTGGGCACATACCCTCTTGTTCATGATGACCGTGTACCTCAAGGGATTGCAGATGGCTACATAGCGGTCATACCCCATGGCTGTGAGCAGAAAGCAGTTGTTGATGGCCAAAGTGATAAAAAAGAACATCTGGGTGGCACAGCCAGCCAAGGAGATGGGCTGGCTCAGACCTCTGAGGCTGGAGAGCATCCGTGGAACAATGACCAGTGTGTACACCGTCTCTGAAGTGGAAAGCATACTGAGAAAGAAGTACATAGGTGTGTGAAGGTGACGATCGATGCTGATAATTGTCACAATGATGACATTCCCAGCCAAGGTTAAGAGGTACAAACTAAGAAACACCACAAAGAGGGTAAGCTGGTGTTCGTGGAAGCTTGAGAAACCCTGGAAAACAAACTCACTCACCACTGTGCAGTTTTCCTTCTTCATTGAACCAATCCCAGATCCAAAAGATGGAGACTTAGGTCCATCAGCCCTAATTCCTCGGTGCCCACTGCTTTGAAGTGGAGAACCCTCGGAGGAGGAGGTGTTATGGATTCAAGTTAGTGGGGACAACTGTTCATCCGGGAAACTGTTCTAGAAAAGAATAGAAAACACAATCAGGAAACGATTTCATGCGTGATGATTTACGCACAAAGTTGTGGAAAAATAAATAGGGATTCGACAGAGCGGAAGGAAAGGTACCTGGGGCCAATTTGGTAAAGATTTCCTGGTGAGTAGGAACACAACAG